GTGAATTAAATGGAGACAGAATCAGTATACGAGGACACTAGTTAATCATTTCGGATTATTAAGGAAAGTGACAGGAAGACGTTTACCGAAGGTGAAGGATCCCTGATATTCTTTCGTGAAAGGCAGCTGGAAGTTGAGCAATGCATTTAGAAGTGCAGTTTGATTGGCCTTCAAACACACTGAAGTTACCCATGACATTCACTCAGAACTTGAATAGATCAAAGATCTTGGTCGTCCAACCACCCTCAAATTGGAAAAGACACTTTCAAATCTGAAACAACACAAAACAAGATAATCTGACGGTCTGCGAAGAAAATGTTTCAAGATGGAGGTAGAGAATTACTGGATAGAATAATGGAGGTTTTAAGTAGTGCATCGGAACCAGACGTAGCCCCATCAGCCTGATCTATGGAATGGGTTATTTCAGTATGCTAGAAAGCAGAGAATTCATCGTGATAAGCGTAGGGGGATCAGTTTGACTAAAGAACATAACCATCCCAAGCCTAACTTGAGATCGAGAACAAGGAACTCAAGAAAACCAGATAATATGCTTCACGCCTGACTCAGGGTGCATCGATTATATTTACATCCTTCTTCGGACTATGCAACACAGGCATGCTTACTGGTGGTCAACACCTGGTAGGTTTTGCATCATGATGGTGGTACCAAACTCTTTCAAACGTGAAGTGCTGTGGTAGTGTCTCACCGTGAATGGAATACCGAGGAAGTAGATAGCACTAATCGAAGATCTCTACTCCAACTCAGGCAACAGTATGAGAGCTCATGGACCACCACCATTTAAATTGATGACAACTACTGTCACCCACAAGGGATGCTCGCTGTCACCGTACCTGTTCGTTATAAATGTATCAATAGACATAAATTTAGTTACCTCTGACTTCACAGGAATTGGTCTACTCTATGAAGCATATCTGGTAGACTTCGAGTATACAGACGACATTGTCCTGCTAGATGAAGATGATGACGAAATGCAGAGTCTTTTGAACGTATTCGAATCCGTTTTACACCTGTCAAATATAAGATGGTCTTCCAGGAATGGTGTGCGACTACTCACGCCTCCGGGTAAGTGAGTGAAATTGTAGTATATACTCGGAAGTCACAGTAACCTTATCGGGTTAGCTGCTAAGACAATGCCAGTTGAGATTCGAGAGGCCTATTTGGCATTAGCCAACCACCGTCATCTCCAGCTTTGGCAAGATATCCGACTACCAGCTAAACGACTAGTATACAGTGTTGCAGTTTTCTCCATTCTCTCATTCAGCTGTGAGACAAGGCTGTTGAAAGTAGATATGAAGACATTGCAGGTTTCAAATACGCGAATCCTCGTAGCATTGCTCACATGTGGTGACATCGTCATGCGAGCATTGTCAAGGTTAAGCAAAGGTTACTGGACATATCATGGAAGTATGTCGCTGAGGTTGTAAGCCTTCAATGACTGAGATCACCTAGACATCCATTGTGCATGCCAACAAACCAGCTGCTACAACAACTATTGTAGGAGTGGAGTTGTGTGGAAGAAAGTTAAGGGTGACGAGAAGGAGATTTGTGGTCAGGGTGGGTAATTGTATTATCTGCTTGTTGTAGCAGTGTGTATTGCCACTGATGCACTGAGTTTAGTTGCTCAGGAGCAACTGCACTTGTTAATACATATTGATGAGATCCAATGTGTCAACTAGTTTTACACGCATTGACGAATCAGTTGACGAATCGCATGAGAGCATAATCCAGACGTCTGTTGCATAGAATGTTGTACTCAGGGACTTCGACATGCGTTGAAGAAGGAGGTTTGTGACAATGAATATCACCTTCGAATCTCAAGTTCATTGCGACCACTTTCTACGGAACTGATTCACTCTCTTCCATAATCTTCCTTCTCCTCAGACTTTTCGCCATCAGTCTGATGGTGGATAGCCACTCTCTTATACTATTTCTCAGAAGGTTCCCAACTCCTCAGTAAGCATGTCATCACTGAATATATTTTGTATTCTTGAGGAGAGAGATTGCACACGATTCATATTCCCACCTGAAGACAACCAACTCTTGAAGTTTGTCACTCGCCTGTACCAAGTGGGATGGATATTTGAATAGAAGTGTCAGGTCTCCACTGGAGTTTGATATCGGGGGAATGAAACATCGGGTCGGTTGCACCTTTTGGAGTCAGTCCGAGTGAAGGCTGGCTGTCATGTACAGTTTGAAAATGGCGTGTCACATTCAGGTTGTAATCACAGACAATGAAGCTATCATCCATGTATCTTATGTATGCATGATGTTGATGCATTGTCAAGACAAGCCATGAAAAATTGTCTAAGTATGAGTGTCGTTAGCATTGTCTTAATGTTGTTGTTCAGCTACTGATCATACTTCACATTTTACTTTACTGGTTTCACAAATTCTCTGCAGTATTCAGATGCTTGCTTGTCCAACAAACACTCTTCTCAAACACTTCTGTACTGGTTAATCAATCTTACCAACTAACTTGTTCGATCAAGTAACCTGTTACTAATCATGGAGGATTGTGTTCCAGGTAGTGAGTGCAACAGTGCATAACTCCATGTTTGGGATGATTAGGAGTGCTGTATGGTCGTCGAAGCACTATCCACTAACTAATTCACGGTCTATCACAGTGTGCTATTTCAAGTAGACGTTTGCCGTTTGATAACTTATTTCAATTGTAAGACATCTGCTGAAAGTTAGTAGTCAGTCACCTAATATGAAGAGGCCAACTGACTGGAGAAAATGAAGTTTTGAAAGTCATCGAATAACTCTTTTTATGTTAAATAGGATGTATTCGGAAAGAACATCTTCCAGTTAATCATTATTTTGTCAAGCTTGATTTGTCCATTGCTTTTCTTGAATCAGTTTTATGTGCCTTATATCATTCATTCCTCTATTCTTATTTTTGCGTTCTGTTGTGAAGTATCTTGCAGTGAACCAATGAACTTCTGTCCCGAGTTCACTTTCAATTATTCTTTCTATCTGCATGCCTGTCTTTCATTATATCCATTCGTTCATTGTAGCTGAATAAATATTCCTTTCTTAAAGAGACATGTTATGCTAGCGAGGTGAATTTACTAGTTTTTTGTAGTGTAATTATCCGGTAGACACTAAAAATAGTTGCTTATTGGATCGTTAAGAAGGTCCAAATGTATTCTGTGAATCTGAATGATTTTGAGGTATGAGGTGAAAGGATTTGACCCTAAGTTATGTGCATGATAACTTTGGTTCATCAATTAACGCAGTTGACTTCCAACCAGTACGGCATTGGATCGATTGTCACCCCACCTACCGAATTCCGGGCAGCCCGTAACTATCTGTCAATTATCCTCACACAATACATGCGACTCATTGTCTGCTGAGTTAGACTTCTGAGTGTGCTTCGGTTTCTTCAGATTCGATTTCCTCTCATCTACTAACAACTCATATCTGAAACCATAGCGGATATGATTCATCCTCGGCCATTCGAATTTCAGTCATAAGGAATGAGAATCAGAAAGATTACGTATAACCACTTTCTTGTCGTTACCCAGCTGTGTGACTAGATTACATTCATAGATTAGTTCTTGGACTGCAGTCATGCTGTCTTGTCCTGAGTAGTAACGTCTCTGACTTCAGTAGTTGGGAAGTACCAATTTGCTTGACACCTCAGTTATCTTTGACTACTAATTGCTAAAGTCCATGAACCCTATAGGTTCGTGGTTTTCCGATTTTTGGCTATGATTGTCTAACACCTACCAATGTGCACCATGATGTCCAGTTACTTAGGCTACTGACAAGTAGTTAAAAGAACAAAAACTGACACTGCTAAGTATCCAATGGTCGACCAGTCTACCGTATTCATTTGTATGTAGCTTCTGAATTATATCTACATTTTCAGCTTATATAGGCAATCCTAACCATTTCTGTGGAAAGTCACATAATGAAAAACTTCTCCTATCCGAAAATAGTGAAAAAGCAACCGGTAAACATCGAAATCAGACTATCGAATCCTTCCTCTCTTCAGGTCTTCATTTCACCTTCTCTCATCACACTGCATTATAGGTACCAGTCTGAAAATCCAAGATAGCGTAGATGATTATTATGCCTTCTGATTGCACTTTAGTTTTTAAAAAGGTGTAGATTATTTTCGCGACTTACTTTGAAGAGAATTTTATCTGACCGAAAACAAACATTCAACAGTAAGTACTGACTCACTGTACAATCTAAAAATAATGTGTAGAGTGGATGAAATAATCTTTACTTGAATTCGCAGTTCATCCAACTCTCAGTTGTCTAGTTGAATGATCGAATTTTTCAGAATGACTCAAACGCTGCTGTATGCCATTTAATGCCACATCTTACATGAATACTCTGCCAAATTCCCTTGATGCTTTTCAATGTAAAATGTTTGAAGACAAAAGATAGTCACTCTTTTTATAGAATGTTCTCGAAATTATCTTCCTTTTTTTGCAAGACGATAAATACATGTGTCTAGTACTGTCAATCGGGTATTCATCACTGACTTAAATTTCAGGAGCATTCGATAGCTGTTCCATCATATTCCACGACTCATCCGCGATTTCACCAGGGGTCGAACTCAAGACCTTCGGTCTCGCGGTGAGCACGTTGTCATTCAGCCATTAGGTAGGAATGCAGTAGTCTAGATTTTTATTATTCTGTCAATTCGCGGTGTAGTATTACCATCATCTTATGTCATCAGCGAGCATTTGTCCTGACACCCGACTTCACTGACCCCAAAAAAGGTCATGAAATCCACCTCGAAGCATCTCGCAAGAGAGTAGTTGAGGCAAACCGCTTAGGAGTCTCACACTGAGGTGAGACAGCTGCCCAGTGTGCCCAGATTTTTAATGCTTCTCAAACTCTCCATCAGGGGCGTTATCAATTAATCCCAACAAACCAATGAATCGAATTCAAGTCTAAAAATCTTTGTCTTTTCATAAAAAAATTATAAATATGCCCGAATAAACTGGAGTTGATTAACATTATTGTAATTCAGTAGGAGTACGTCGCCATAACGCAGCTAAATAAATCCATATAGACAGAACTGGTCCCGGATAAGCCTTCACATAAACATTAAGTGCAAACTGAACATTTAAAGAATCTGACTGAAGTCTTCTGATTGATGCAATCGATGGTTTTTGATTGAATATTGAATCCGAGAAACCATTTAACGTTGTTTTAGCGAAACTAACTGAACTTTTTTGCTGTTGTAACTGTTGAGCCTGGTCAACGATATCAGAGAAAGCATATTCACTCCCAATCAAATCATGAATGCCTTTTGATTTTACTCTGGCTATAATTTCATCTGGTTCCATGTAGGAGAAATTCATTGGGAATCCATACATCTATATTCATAGAAGAAACATAGGAAAGTAATTCAATTAAATGATTTTTGCAGAGGAACATGATACAAACACAAATCAGTCATAAGTTACGTCAGCTTTTATTAAGCTCTGATAAGCAACTAAGTTGATGATATCAACAGTTTTATTGAAGATGATGAAAAGAACTTTATCTCAACTGCATGCAGTGGTTACTGTCTAATATAGAAGAGTCAAAGACAAAACACAGCAGCTAGAGCTTAGGTGAAAAGAGTGATAAGCAGCAGGTCTACAAAATTGTTTTCAGAATAACTTTTCGTGAGCCAAGTGGTGTTATAACATTTCTGTTAGGCAGATAAAGGATCATATGCTGATATTAGTGATGCATATTTTCAATAACACGGGGCCCATTGGAGTTCACATATGACAATAGGCAGTCCAAAGCAATAGACAAGAAACCATGAAGTTATATTGATCTTGACGACTAGCAGAGGAGTAAAGAAGGCGAGTTTTGTCCTATTTGCCACTCGTCACTAGAATGTAAGCGGTAGTTAATTTCATTATTAATTAAAGATATTTACACGCAGTCAATCGATTGTCAGTTCACCTTTCTGATATGCTTTCAAATGGACTGCAATGACAGATAGTATATGACTCAGGTAATTGACAGTGACAAGACTTGTTGATGAGCGCCCAAACAAGATAACACAGGTATTCAGTGTTCTCATGCATTCATTGCCTCATAGTCTCATTCTTCCAGGAACGAGTGAAGCATCTTCTAATAAATGAAGTAAAATTGTGATGTTTCACTTCAGCGATGTGATCAACGTAAGTGGGGGAGGGAGGGGGAATAGGACAGATAACTTGTCAACATACAGAATAAAAACCTTCAGTTCACTAATACTGACTTACATATATATATATATATATATATAAATTGAAAGTGTTGCCATGGGATCACCAATTTCCCATTTAGTCGCAGACAAATTTAAAGGTAGCTGGGAACGGATGGCTCTTCAAACATCTAGTCCTACTCGAAAGATGTTTCCGATATGTAGATGATACGTTTACAGTACTGAAAACGGAACACATCAATAGGTTCTTGGGACACACGAATCCAGTAGTGAATGCAATCAGATTTACATGTGACTTAGAAAATGATTTAGGTGGGCTAGCAATGTTGGATTGCAAGATTAAATGAAAACAAAGTGGAGGCTAAGAGACTAGTGTCTATAGGAAACGTTCCCATTGAATGGCTGCTTAGGCTTGAAATCATCTCAGGCCATCTCAGTTGAGGTAGGTTTACCTAAATGCCTAAGTGATAAGGCGGAAAGGCTTGCTAGTAGACCAGAAAATCTACGATGAGGAATTAGACACATCAAAAATTCCTTGTAACTCAATAGTTACCCACCTAAATTTATAAAGAAATTCATAAGAAATCAAAAGAAAAATATCACCAGTACTATCAGTAATACAGGTATTTTTAACATTAGTTCTACTACTAATAGTAATACTGGCGACAGTGTTGAGAGAGAATTCGAAGCCTCTGTTGTGTTGCCAAACAAGGAAGGTACCTCAGACGCATTACGGAAAATTTTCAAGAAGGCTAGGGTTAAAAGTTGCATTTAAACCAACTGACTTTCTTAGAAACAAGCTTTGTAGGTTGAAAGATCCTATCTATGCGATTAGGCGAAATGGTCTGGTTTACCAAATCCCTGGCAATGACTACGAGGTCGAGTACATATGTCAAAGTAGTCGACCAGGGTTGATTAGAGTACCAGAGCACAACAATTTGGCTCAATCAAGATAAGTAGATTCTAATAAGACAAGAAAGTTACAGGAAAGCTCTGCTATAACTTCACTCAAATTACACACAATCACACAGTAGGTTCGGATAGACCGACAGCATTAAAAACATAGTTGGGTAGAGACAGCGATTGTGTTGTGATGCCTCAGTTTTGTATAAAACATTGTTATTGATCTGAACGTTTTAACGTGTCATTCCTACACCAAGTGAGGACAAGGTTATTTCATGTCTATACTTATTCGAGGTGTTTTGGATTGATTGTTATTATTTTAAAACGCTGGACGATGAACTTTTTTTAGTGATAAACTCTCCCATCTGCCAGCTTCGGGATTCTCTCGATTTTGTCCGGGGTTTCAGTCAGTGGCTCTTGCGTACTAAGTTAGCTGACAGCTAAGCCTGCGTATTATATCGTTCAGTATATGTAACCAATAGCGTTTGAAAGCATAACAGATTGATCGTGGAAACCACACCAATGGAAATGATTGTGCACATGTCCCAGATATATGAAAAATACTACTACCCTCATCAAAAAGAAGGAGAGAAAGCTAGAACTATATAAACTCTGTCTCACATTTGGAGTGTTACTTCAAATGAATATGAACAGTAAATTGTGCCCGAAACATTATCCAGTAAATGGTACTGTTTCATTTTGTAACATTTCTAATAAACCGACTAAAAAAGAATTACAACCAATAACATTTTTAAAAATCAGTGAAAGTTTCATCATCTAATAGGAATATCGAATCTCCTTGGGATGAAGATATACAAGAGATGTGAATAGACCAGAATATCTTCTGTGAATTGATTAGCAAGTTATTTTGTTCATACTCGTAAGTTACCGTTGTTGTAGTATACAGAAATGATCAATCGTCTGTTGGTAAATAGTCTCCTACCCGTAGCCTTCGTATAAGCGGTGACTCCCATGACTAAGTGGATTAGTCTGGATGACGTTGAGGTGTTAGAAGTGATGTGTGTTCGGCTCCAGTTCGAGGTGACAAATTATCACTCACTGAGATACGACTACACCCAGGTGATGAGTCAGCAGATTGACGAAACGTGCATCATCAACAGGTAAACTGAATTACAAGCCCCACTATTACTTACTTTTTTTAACATCTTAATGGATTTCGACATCAATCATGAACATTTTTGTGCACTATGGATATACGAAAATTTATCCTACTTCATGTACTCGACCCACTGATCATAACTGCCACCATTAAAATTAAACAATCGTAGAAACATTGAGCAACACCATTCAAACTTACATGATATTTAAGTGAAATACGATCAAGTAGTTGATTCAAGCCATCATAATATGCTCCATTATTCTTCTCTAAACTATTTAATAAAAATGTTTATGGATAAGAACTCGAAAAAAACATCATCAACTTGATGTAATAAACAATTTTAACGGATATGTCACATTATTTGGTGAAAATACCTTTTTGACACATAATATCATCATCTTATTACGCAAGGACGACTAACTATTAAGGTTGTTAGTACAAAAGTCGATCACAACAAATTGGTAAACTGTGACAGTCTTAACAAAAGATAGTAGTGGGCATAAGTCGGTTGAATATCATGAAACTAGATTTGCACTCGTATAACTTAACAGATCACAACAGATTCGTCAAGTAATCTTTCTGAATAACAGCAAACTCTTTAATTTCTTCCCCTTTGACTATGATAGAAACGGGAGGAAAAAGAAATTTTGAATATATACACATACACTATGTACATTTGTTGTTTTAATAGATTCAAGAGCAACATCAATAAATTGTTTCAAAGCAAACTTGACAGCAGGGATTACTACAGGTAACCAAGGCAAAATTTTCATTTAAGTCTATTTCTGAAAATTTTCCATGAAGACAGATAAAAAAAAAGGAAATAGGTGATTCAGAAAAGAGACTCTATCCGATGACTTTCATACGCATTCACATACACATTTTCTGGGTAAAAATGTAGCATTTATTTCATGTATGAAAGTATCTAGTTAACCGCTGCAACAAACAAGGTAACACATGTAGAAAACGAAATATCACTTTCATCCGTAAATGATTACAACTTTTTACGAATAGTAAACATTTATCAATCAAAAGGCACAAAAACAACAGAAGCTAAATTATCATGACATAAAAATAAACGGTTTTTCAATATATGAGTATGGCTCGAGATTGCAGAGATTCCAAACAAAGATGAGAATAACGATTTGAGAAACATGACAAGACATTCAATGATCAATGAAACATTATCAGGCAGAGAATAACTATTAATATTCCTTAAATGAGTTCCTAGTAGAACAAAAGGATTCAGTAGCACGTCTCTATTGCACTCTCTCCTCTGCAGCCTTTTCAACCTGACCCCACGACTACCCAGAAACTTCTAATTCGTCACCACACCAACTCCTACATGTCATCCTCAACACGGACACCCAACTCGTCGTTTCCCAGTTGGAGTCCACTAGAGGGCCTGGTCTGGTGCGTGATGTCCCCAAATGGTCTTCTCAGTGTATGTCCAATCCAATCCATCTCGACTTTCTGCTTCTGCATATTTGTTGGGCGATAGGTTGTTGGTTGGTTCGTTGCCAGCTAGCCATAGTGCCTTCTTGTTTATTCTTACTATTCTGGCCATCTGATCATCAGCATCGAGTCAGTGTAGACGGCAGATGTTGATGATATATGTCTATAACGCACCAAGTCTCTCAGCCATCACATAATAGCACTGACTTTACTGACATTAGTGTTGAAAATATCGATCTTGTTCTTCATGCTGAGTTGAGAGCAGCAAATCTGCACACTGATTTCAGGTTAGTGAAGGCCTTGTTGTTGTCTTTCCAATCCTGGCGTTGACATTCTCATCTGTGCCGCCTCCGTCTGTAGTTGAAATGATGCTGTCTAGGAAGGTAGGTGAAAGAGACGACTCCCTTCAGATTCCTCCCGTTCATGGTGATTGGTGCTTGTCGTTGTTGTCGGTTGTGTGTTTTCATCACCTCCGTCTTCTCTACGTTCACCTGAAAGAAATTCCGTCTTCGCTGCCTTGTCTCTTCTACCAACTTGTTAGTTTTTGCCTGTAGATCTTCGAGTTTGTACAACATTAGACATAAATCATCATCGGCGAAATTCAAATCTTCTGAGGTCTTTTCATCTGTCCAACCAGCGTATACCCATCTTCCTGCTCCTCACAGCTGTCTGCTGCATGATCCACTCCAGTCCAGTCGACCACAATCAGGAAGATCATCGGTGACAGTAAGCAGAAGCCTTGTCCCACTCCTGTCTTCACTTCAAAGACATCACTGAGCTTTCCATTGTGAATCACTCGGCATGTGGCATCATTTCGCATATAGCTGCTATTGGATGAGGTTGATAGAGGTTTGTGGAACTAAAACCGTAGTGTTTAAGCAGCTGCCTGCCAAGTGACTTCTCGGTCAACGCTATCGAATGCCTTCTCAAAGTCGATGAAGTTGAGGTAAACATCCACTTGACTGGCATTCTATGTTCTGTTCTATTATGATTCGCAGCGTAGTATTGCAATTTGACCTGCACATGATTTGTTCTTCCTGAAACCAGTCAGCCAGCCTGTTCCAATCGTAATTTTGAATCGAGAGCATTGTTTAGTCTCTCCAGTATGATGCGGCCTAATACTTTGCTTGGGGTGGTCAGGAGCATGATTCTGTGCCAGTTCCTGCAGAGACTTAGGTCATTCACTCTTATTTGAGAGTTTGACAAGGCAGTCCTTCTAGTCAATTGGCAGGTACCTTTGCTTCCTTCCGTCCTTCCAAACTCGATGCAGCAGTGGTTTCAGCATGTCTGCTGCTGTTGCCTTTGTGTCTGTTTTCAGTGCTTCTGGAGGAATTCCACCTGCTCCTGCTGCCTTCCCGGCTTTCGGTAACTTCGTGGTGTTCAGGAATTCGAGTTTTGTCGGAGGTCTTGTGTTCACTGGTAATTCTGCGGTTGCCTATGCTACTTCTGTACGAGTTGCTTGTGGTGGTGGTCGATTAAAGAGCTTTTTGAAGTGGTCAGCCCATCAGCTCTTTTGTTCTCTTCTTTGGTAATTAGATTTCCTTCATCACCTTTTATTGGTTTCATCTATGTTGATCTCTACCCTCCCAGATAGTAACCTGTTATTTGATACAATGTTGTCAGGTCTCTCCTACCCACAACCTGCAGTCTGTTCTGCTTCACTTGCCAATGTGTCGTAGAAGTGTCTTTTGTCTTTGCGTGCGCTCTTCCTCACTTCTTTGTCCGGTGTAGTGTTTTATACGCTGTACTCAGTTCCTCTTTTCGTTGTGCATCCTTCCACTGCTTTGTCTTCTGCCTCGCCATCTTCCTCTACCTCCTCTCTCAGCTTCCATTTGTCTGTGGAGATCCATTCCTTGCCTTCTTTCTTCTCCCTTCCTAATACGGTCATGTAGGCTTCTTTCCACATAGATTTCAAAGAGTTCCAGTCTTCTTCCACACAGATGTCTTCAGCAATGTTCCTCGATATCTTTCATTTTGTCTTGATGGCTGCCGTGAAGATGTCCCTGGTAGTTTCATCCTTCAGTTTGGGTTCTGGGCGTTGAACTTGAACTGTGTTCTATCACCAACTTCCATGAAGGCTTTCAACTTGATTTGGAAGGCAGGTTCCTTGCACTAGATAGTGGTCTGAGCCTACATCTGCTCCTCTTCTTGACCTTGTGTCGAGTAGGTTGCGTCTCCACTTTCCTCACATTGAGATGAAGTCGATCTGATTTTGGTGTAGTATGTGCATCCATATCGCCCCAGCCATTAGAACTTCATTCGCTATCCTACCTTCTCCGTCATCTTGTTAGTTTTTGCCTGTAGATCTTCGAGTTTATGCAACATTAGCCATAAATCATCGACAATGCGGTGTAAGGTGAGAATGAATATTTTGTAACATGTAAGAAATGAAAGGAATGAAAGAGTTAAAGAAGGGGTTTTTTGAAACGCTTAAAGGAAGAAGGGTTGAGCCAGTCTTTTTATATGCTTTGAGTTGCTAAGACTTCAGCATTATGAAACAGACAAATGTGCACCGACTACAACAAATTTCTTTTCACTTTCCAAGTTTTGCACCTACATTAATTCTTTTCACTTTATGGATCAACTTGAAAAAGGTTGTTGTTAAGAGACAGTAACCACTGTCGGTAACGTTTTTTTCCATCATGACACTAGTTGTAGCTCCACTATTAGCTCCTCGAAGCCATGCGGGAGAGTGTTTGTGGACCTCTTTAAACAGGATTCGCACCAAACAATTGATATATCTGGCTCCACAAAAGCAGCTGAACTGATATACTTGTGTAGAGGTGACTAGATGCGAGATTTTGTCTTTCAGACAATTGCTAAGTAAAGGGCAATTAGGAGACAGTAATCTCAGAGTTTCTGTAGAGAACATTCTCTTCAGTAAGACTGAAGTCCTTCTCTTAGGATGTTAGCAGTTACATCATCTTTGAAGTCATGAATCGAGTCGAAATGTGATTCCTTTCTTGACGGCTTTGAGTAGATGTTTTTATCTATAAACCGAGGCAGATATCCCTTTTTGATTAAGATAATCTTAGAATGCTTACCTCAGAATCCACAGGATATCCGCTGTACTACCTTGTTTGTTGTCACACTTATCTAACTATTTCCACACATGAAACAAGTTGTACGTTCTTATCCACAAAAAATGTATGTGAAAGCTTTTGTGCAGCTTAGTGAATGAAATCACCGCAAAGGGTTTCTTTTCTGAAGCATTTTTTCTTATCTTCTTATACGTCTATTGTATCGTGATTATGTATAACCTGATACGTAAGTCTATTCTTTATATAGTGCATTAAGAATGCCTTTGTAGATGCCTTTAAAAATTTTTCAACCGTCTCACTTAAAATGAAGCTGACATCATTTTTTTATTACAACTTATTTGAACCGCATACTAAGATTTATAAACTTCACTGACGATAAACGACCCATGCAGTTACTAGAAGTAAATAATACGTAATCAGTAGTCATTTCAGTAGTTCTAATCAAGTCGAAAATAAAAGATGAACAACCATTGGAGACGACAGACAGTGGTTTCACATCACGACTTTCTATTCCTTTTGAATGCTTTCTTCTTCCTTATTTTTCTAATCTTGTATCGTGATTCATTCTTGTTTGAAATGGTGATGTCAAGCGTGGCAAGTTGAAGCGTTCCACAGTCATGCACAGTCCCATGTTAACGGTGGCTGACTGACCAGATTGACTAGTTTAACGTATCTACATATTGACTAGAAACATATGAATAGGAGATAGTACTACAGGTTTGTAGTTCAGGATGAGGATAATAATCGTCTGGTATTCTCCAAGCTTTGAAGTTTGTTCCTAGATGCTTCATCAGGTCCATAAAGAAGTAAGTCCTGACGTTATCGTCTAACTAGCTGACGAAATATCTAAGCATGCGCTTTGGTCATTGGAGAACATATAACATAAAACAAATAGCATAAAACCATTTGACTGATCAGTCTACTTCTATAAAGGCACCTTAAAGCCTTAAATAGCCTTAAATAAATACACTCTTGTATCTTTTTTTATTCTAATAGAATTCGGCTAAACAATGTCATATATGAATGAACTCAGCTGAAAAAATTTTTTTCATTTTGTTCTCATTGAACATCATATTCTCACCTTTCAAGCATTTTGTTAAAATCTTTGATAAATTCATAATTAAGCCGCGTTATCTGAAAAATAAAAGAGGTAACGTAAACAAGCAAATAATTTACTATAAATAGGCATAATATGGAATTTGATACCAAGGAATCATAAATTTTTAATTATTTTTCTAGAATAAATGGCGATCGAACAAGCTAGAAATCATGCGATATATTAAAATTACTAATTAGGTGAAAGTAAACTGAAGCTTATAAATAAGATGATTATAAATATGAAGACATTTTTGAAAACAATAGATCAGCGAATATCAGAGTATAAAGTATAAAGTAAATGAAAGCTAATTCAGTGAAAAAAGTTTTCTTTTAAACCGCACTGTCATTGATTATAACTGTACAAGAATACTTATAAGTATCAGAAACAAATAACAGTGAATTTATTAGTCAATAGGGTCAGGTTAATCCATCACCATCATGTTCAAAAATAAAATCAAAAATCGTTTACAAACCCATAAAAAAGTTGCTTAATAATACGTAATACAGTAAAAGTAATCAGAAACATGAGAAGTTTGACAAAAGGGGGAACTATTAACGTAGCGTTTTGAGATAGCCATACTTTAATAGACTCCTATTACTGATGCTAGGTGATGATTGAAAATGAAATGAAGATGTGGGCCATGTCAAGATTAGAACCAGAGATCTCTAGGCTACCGGCCTGGTTAGAAAACTATAAAAAGGTAGCTGTGACCATAGCAAATTTAGAGGTTGAAAGTATTTCTTCTCTAAAATAATTCGAACTTGAATTAAAAGATCTCCGGTGCTTCTATCACGCACAGGCTACCGAACTGTACTCCTTTTGGACTATATAGTTCAACTTTATAGATATTTTAAAAGAAGATTCAGGTGGACGTATACGACTTAAATTGACTAGATGTTCAAGCCATTAGCTACTTATAGTTTTCACTGATCTTTAGATTGTTATGCTGGATAACGTTGAACAATGCGTTTTGAGGGTGTACACTTTGTTCTGCTTACAAAAAACCAACTCCACAGAAGTTAGTAAACTTGTAGACAAACATTTATATATGTGTTAACTATGATCAAGATTTGGTCGTATAGTATGGCAAATATTAGCCGCTGAGTAAAAGGTTGACATTAGATATAGATTATATTTGTGTAAGTCACAGCGGGTTTGAAATCATATAATTGTACTGCAGTATATGTAGGGGAAACAGCAAGGCAAGTAAATGTGAGAGTTAATGAGCAGAAATTATGCTTAAAGCAGATACCAAATAACTCAGAAGAGTTCATTTGATATAAAGCGCACAGTGATACAGTATTATTTAATCGATTACGTTTAATTATTGCTCATAATCATATCAATGTAATCACACTTCTTTCGACATCTGATTTTATAGTCCTGTCACCTGATCTCTCTTTGTTTTTTTTTTGATTGGTAGTAAAGTTTTCCATATCTCTGGTATAGGTGTTGCGTCATTCCTATTACATGTGTTGGGTGTGGATTCGATGAACAAAGATTCAGTAATTAATCTCTCTCTCCACCTAGCTATATTAGACTTAAGTACAGTGGTTTTGTCCCATCCTATTGTGTGGTTGTGTGTTAATGAATGTAATGCAATGGCTGAGTGTTTTTCTAGGTTATTGATCTTATTGGGGTCTGTCGTTCTATGTTTAGCTAAATTCCTATGTTCTGTTAATCTAACTGACCCCGACCGGCTAGTTTGACCTATGTATTTGACTTCACAGTCATTACATGGAATTTGGTAGATTATATTATTTTGCTTAATTGGTTCTATCGGATCTTTTAGCCGACAAAGCTTACCTCTAAGTGAGTTTGTTGGTTTAAATGCCACCCTAATTCCAACCTTGTTGAGAATCCTACGTATGGTTTCTGATGTTCCTTCCTTGTATGGTATCACAATAGAGGTGTTGATTTCCTTTCTACTTATGTTGTCACTATTATTTGTATTTGTATTAGTGTTATTATTTTGCTTCTTATGCGTCCGTGTGAATTTCTTAATAAAATGATGGGGATAATTATTAATTATTAACGCTTCTTTTATGTGTTTCAATTCCTTATTTAAGTCCTTACAATGACTAGTGAGTTTCTCAGCTCTGTTATTTAGACATTTGACTAAACCCGCTTTAACTGACACTGGATGAGATGACTTGAAGTCTAGATATCTGTTAGAATGTGTTGGTTTTCTGTAGACGGTAGTATCTAAACCACCATCTATCCTTCGTTTTATTCTGCAATCCAACATAGGTAATTCTCCTTGTTCATTTTCTACTTCGTAGTGAATTGGATTGCGTTAACTACTGAGTTTATGTGTGTCAAGAAACTGTCGATATGTTCCGATTTCAACACTGTAAATGTGTCATCTACATATCGCCACCATATCTTAGGTGTCGGATTATATGTTCGTAAAGCCATATCTTCCCAACTATCCATAAATATATCTGCTACTATAGGGGATATTGGTGATCCCATTGCTACTCCTTCTGTTTGTCTATAATCTTTCCCTGAAACTTGAAGACTGTCGAGGTTAAGCATAACTGCACTCCTAACATGATTTCACCAACCGATGCCTTGGTTCTTTGAGTAAGTTGTGAGTCAGTATCTAGTTGATTTCTGACTGCCTCCAGTGCCATATTGATTGGTATTTTAGTATAAAGACTTGTTACGTCAAAACTAACCATTTTTTCATCCTCTTCTATGTGCAGGTCATTAAGTTTTTGTTTCAACTCGTAAGAATTTACTAGTCTAGAGTTGGAACGGTCTCTAACAGGACGTAATACTGATGCTAAATACTTTGATATCTCATATGTTGGTGTGTTCCGGAAGTCAACTATCGGCCTAATGGGATAACCTGCTTTATGAACCTTAATAGTACCGTAAATTCTGCTAGGATTATTAGTTTTTGGCATTAAAGTAAACCATCTCTAGGTAAGTCCGAATGGTTTACTTTAATGCCAAAAACTAATAATCCTAGCAGAATTTACGGTACTATTAAGGTTCATAAAGCAGGTTATCCCATTAGGCCGATAGTTGACTTCCGAAACACACCAACATATGAGATATCAAAGTATTTAGCATCAGTATTACGTCCTGTTAGAGACCGTTCCAACTCTAGACTAGTAAATTCTTACGAGTTGAAACAAAAACTTAATGACCTGCACATAGAAGAGGATGAAAAAATGGTTAGTTTTGACGTAACAAGTCTTTATACTAAAATACCAATCAATATGGCACTGGAGGCAGTCAGAAATCAACTAGATACTGACTCACAACTTACTCAAAGAACCAAGGCATCGGTTGGTGAAATCATGTTAGGAGTGCAGTTATGCTTAACCTCGACAGTCTTCAAGTTTCAGGGAAAGATTTATAGACAAACAGAAGGAGTAGCAATGGGATCACCAATATCCCCTATAGTAGCAGATATATTTATGGATAGTTGGGAAGATATGGCTTTACGAACATATAATCCGACACCTAAGATATGGTGGCGATATGTAGATGACACATTTACAGTGTTGAAATCGGAACATATCGACAGTTTCTTGACACACATAAACTCAGTAGTTAACGCAATCCAATTCACTACGAAGTAGAAAATGAACAAGGAGAATTACCTATGTTGGATTGCAGAATAAAACGAAGGATAGATGGTGGTTTAGATACTACCGTCTACAGAAAACCAACACATTCTAACAGATATCTAGACTTCAAGTCATCTCATCCAGTGTCAGTTAAAGCGGGTTTAGTCAAATGTCTAAATAACAGAGCTGAGAAACTCACTAGTCATTGTAAGGACTTAAATAAGGAATTGAAACACATAAAAGAAGCGTTAATAACTAATAATTATCCCCATCATTTTATTAAGAAATTCACACGGACGCATAAGAAGCAAAATAATAACACTAATACAAATACAAATAATAGTGACAACATAAGTAGAAAGGAAATCAACACCTCTATTGTGATACCATACAAGGAAGGAACATCAGAAACCATACGTAGGATTCTCAACAAGGTTGGAATTAGGGTGGCATTTAAACCAACAAACTCACTTAGAGGTAAGCTTTGTCGGCTAAAAGATCCGATAGAACCAATTAAGCAAAATAATATAATCTACCAAATTCCATGTAATGACTGTGAAGTCAAATACATAGGTCAAACTAGCCGGTCGGGGTCAGTTAGATTAACAGAACATAGGAATTTAGCTAAACATAGAACGACAGACCCCAATAAGATCAATAACCTAGAAAAACACTCAGCCATTGCATTACATTCATTAACACACAACCACACAATAGGATGGGACAAAACCACTGTACTTAAGTCTAATATAGCTAGGTGGAGAGAGAGATTAATTACTGAATCTTTGTTCATCGAATCCACACCCAACACATGTAATAGGAATGACGCAACACCTATACCAGAGATATGGAAAACTTTACTACCAATCAAAAAAAAAAACAAAGAGAGATCAGGTGACAGGACTATAAAATCAGATGTCGAAAGAAGTGTGATTACATTGATATGATTATGAGCAATAATTCGAAACGTAATCAATTAAATAATACTGTATCACTGTGCGCTTTATATCAAATAAACAAATCTAATATGGAACTACATTCTACCACAGTGCCCAAGTTTTTCACTTATATTAACCTCAGAAGAGGTTAAGAAACTAGAAAAGAAATCAGCGGTCGCGTTACACTCCATAGAAATGGGACACAAAATTGACTTTGACGGAACTACGGTTCTACGAAAAGGTTTCGGCTCATACAGAGAAAGACTGACAGCCGAGGCCCTACGTATATGGAAATCCAGACAGTTTAAACAGACGAGATGGAGTGCAGATAGCTGCCTTTTGGCAATTACTAATTTGTAAGCAGAAAGAGTGACTCAAACATTTACCGTCAACATTGGTCTCAACTCCATTATTTCTGTATCAACAAGAACCTGCACAGATCCGATTCATTATTACTGTCATCACCACCACGATTACTACCACTCATTTCCACCCTATTCCCGTGAATCAATG